AGGACAAGGGATCCTCTCACCTCTGCAGGAGTCTACCGTATACCATGCAGCTGTGGACAAGTCTACATAGGGACCACCAAACGCAGCATTGCCCAGACACGCATCAAGGAACATGAAAGGCACTGCAGACTACTTCAACCAGAGAAGTCAGCCATAGCAGAGCACCTGATGAACCAACCTGGACACAGCATAGTATTTGAGAACACAGAAATGCTGGACCACTCTCACAACCACCATGTCAGGACTACACAGAGAAGCCATTGAAATCCACAAGCATGTGGACAATTTCAACAGAAAGGAAACCATGAAAATGAACAAAATCTGGCTACCAGTATTAAAAAACTCTAAAATTACAACAGCAAAACAGCAGAGAGGAAACAACCAGGCACATCTTAACACCTCTCAACAAAAGATTCCCCCAGGCTCAGCCAGGCCTTTCAATGCTAATGAAGGTGATCAGTTGAAACATTCACACCTAGCTCCAGCAGACAAGAGTCCTTTGTCCCACCCTGGTCATTCCACAGATATATAAACCCTTTTTCCTAGTTCCAACAGACCTCACTACCTCTGAGGATGCTTGCCATAGATGCAGACGAAACGTCAGGAGAAATGCCTCTAGAACATGGCTCTATAGCCCGAAAAAACCCACAAGAACCTATTTTCAAAATATTTCTTATGTATGATGACCTTAACATAACCTTATCATACGTTTTTCATGGACAGGTTTTATTCAGGTTCTCGTAGACTTCCTCTTAGACTGAGGAATTGTCATTTGACAAAGGTCACCCAGTGGGTTTCTATGGTTGAACCAGGGTTTGAGCCTATTCTCTTGAACTGTTAATTTAATATTTAAACCACAATAGCATGATGGCTCTCTTAATATACAAATGATTATGCATACATGTTTATACATATCTGCACAGACATAGACCTTACTCATTTCAGTGGGGCTTCTTCTAGAAGAGTGTAAGTCTCCAACCTATGGCAATTATGTCCTAATTACTAGCCATACTTTATTAAAGGACTAATCAGATATTGTAATTTTAGCTGTTTACATCAGAATTAATGTTTGCTCCTCTTTTAAGAAGAAATGCATATAGTGAAATAGTAAAATGAAGTAGCAACAGCAACAAATGAATATGCACAGGCCTGTGGCACATATAATAGTTCACAGGTGTGTATCTATTTTACCACTGTAATTTTGTGTATGCTTGTGCTGTTATTGCAATTGATTGCAATATATATCCTGATCCTAGGATATATAAAAGGTCAGAAGCAAAGTAAGATATTAACAATGCAGTAGCCCAGGAAATATAACATGACAACAAGCAATAGCTGCATTTTGGGGGTCCCTGTGATGGATAAATGTATGCATTTGATTATAAAACAAAGGAGGACAAACTCTCAAGACCTGAACACTATAATGGCAAATAAACTACTACTTTTTGTTGCACATCAGGGTAGAGATTAAAAAGAACTTTATAAAGTATTTATGAGGTTTTGATTTACCACCATTCTTTTCTGTAGTTCTTTGCATCTCTGCACAATATCATAATGCTAGATCATATATTTTAACAATACTGCACCAGATATACTGTAATGATCTGGCATCCAGCCTTTTGGAATAAAAGTTAAAGCAAGCCAAATAAATCATTCCCTTACATGATTGCACTGAAGCTATGATTGCACTGTAAACTTTGGATAAATCTGTTATATGACAGAAAGCAAATTGTAAAAGGAAGGCTGGATATGGGGAATGGAGGAGGATCCTGGAAATCACCAGTACTACATTATGATCATGACAATTCAAGATTTTTCAATAAAATATTTCTTCATTTATTAGTGTAAGGACTAAACTAGACGAGACACAGATAACAAATTTAAAAATGTAGTGAGTTTTCAGAAAAAGTGTATTACTTGTGTGCCTCTCAATCTAGGTTAAGACCTTGATGGGAAGGCAGGAAGGGACATTTTTCATTCTTTTCTTTCAATGTTAATGATTATTTTTTCTTCTTGGAGGCCCAAGTCAGGGAGACAAAGGGTTAAAGCCCACTGAGGTCTCAGTCCAGATCAGAGACCCATGCTTGCTATTTTCTTTACCTAAATCCAACTTGTAATGGTGTGAATGTCATCTTGTAGGGTTTGACCCTAATCTGTCATCCTGGTCATGAAACCTGAGAGTTCTTGAGCCAAGAGAATTAGCAGCAACAACCATTCCTTGTGTCTACTCCTGATGTATGGTGGATAAATAGAGACTGAGTGGGTTTTGATCAGAAATGGGGGGAAGCAGCTGACCAAGCATATGTGCCTTTCAGATGAAAGTAGACATGACAGCCGCAGACCTGTGTGTCACAGCTGGGTCACCATGAAATCCCTATAAAATGAGAGGCAATTTAAAATTCATTTGGGAAGTGTTGTTGAGCTTTCCATCGATTGGTATTTATTTCCTCCACAATGACCTCTCCTGAGCTGTCCTTGATCTAAGATTTTTTTTTTTAAAAAAAAGTCTTCAGAGGAAATTTTAAATATTGGCAAGATGCTAATCTAGAGTAAAATTATCTATGTTTAGTCTGGAATAATAAGAATATAGAAAATCTGTTGCACATTACATTACTTTAGTCCCAAATTTGGATGCAACTCAGATTTATGTGTTTCAAGATTATTAAGAATTGGGTGGACATTTGATGGTCTTTTAATTTTTTTTTAAATTGGGGGCATTTGGTTATTGGGAATGAAATATTGCATATAGTTGGCACTTTGCTAATGTGTGCCTCATTACTGACAGGTTCCTATGAAGGATGGGGCTATTAAAATCTCTGGTACTTATTGTTTTAGTTGATAGGATGCTGACCCCACGAGATAAGGCAAACTGTGTTTACACTATAAAGTTTATCTTCACTAGCCAGAAAGCTACATCTTCCTTTATGTATGGGGAAAGCAATAAATGGATAGAAAAATAGGAAAAGAAACCTCCAAACAATTATGGATACATAAAAAGAATTCTGCTGGATCAAACTGAAAGTCTTCATGCCCTGTGTATGTTCTTCTATACTATACACAAAGTTTTTGAAAGCTAGTTTTTGGTGATGAACCATTCTGGAAGTTGTAGTCGAAAAATGTAACTGCCTGGAGTTCTCCACTACTGCTTCTCTTGACCCATACTTAACAGTAAGTGGCCCATTTTAAATTAAAGCTCTTTATGGTTACCATTTTGTCCTCTTTATGTTCTCCTTAGCCTACATATGCTAGATATGATTTTGAGGAAAAATAGCATGCAATGCTAGTTGAATACTTTGGGGTCTTTAAAATGTATCTGGAAACCCCAGGAAGTTTCAAATTATCTGTCCTTTGCACTGAAAAGCAAAACACTGGCTTAAAGTAGAACTATTAAATAGGAATCCAGTTACAATATGAGGTTTTCTGAACCAGAATTTACAAATGCAGCCAATCATAGCAGCTGAAATTATTAAGATCTTGACAGCTGATTTCCTAAGAGGAAAATCAGATTCATTAATTTAACATTTACAGACTGTAATGGTAATGCTCATTAGGATGTCATTATACTTCTTTGAAATCTAGCTTCAAGGAAGAGTGGTGGGTTATAAATAAATTAATATAATATAATATAATATAGTATAGTATAGTATAGTATAGTATAGTATAGTATAGTATAGTATAGTATAATATAATAATGGTTGGTGATGCTAGAAAAGGTCTTATCAGCCAGGTTTGAAAAATAACTCCCACAAGAAAAAACTCAAGCCAACAGATGAACATGTCAGGAGACATCTCCTAATACAAGATCTCAGCAGGGACCTGTAGCTGGTGGCTATGCTCTTTGCTGAATGACTGTTCTCCAAATCTCATTTAATGAATTTTTGAAATCTCAAAGTGGAAATGTGGACGTTTCTTCATCCTTCCCAGGAACTGAGGTTCTAGTTAGGTTTATAATGTTGTTATGGCATATAATGCTATTTCTCTCTGAAGACTTGAAATGAGCATTACATAATAAAATTAAATCTTTAGGTTTGTAGTTCATAACTATTTGGTTATGAACTGCTTTGAGTCGCCTGAGGGCTGAGAAAGGTGGTATATAAATGAAGTAAATAAATAAATAAATAAATTATAAATCAATTTTGAAAGTTCAGGTCTTAGGTCTAGCCAGTACTTTTTGAAAACTTCCAAATTCCTAAGCCAGGATGAAATTGAATATGTTGGCTATGGGTTTTGTGTTTTGTAGTTTTAAATAGCAACTTTATCATACTTAGGCTTTATTTTGCAGGGAGAGTTTATCTAGAATTAGATACAGAATGCAGCACTTCAGATTCTGAGAGAAGTAATGGGCACACATATATTACCTGCTGTTGAAGCACCAGCACTGGATAGCAGTTTGCTACCAACCCATGTTCCAGGTCTTATTTTTTAATAACCCGTGACCAGGTTGCTGTGAGGATTGTCTTACTCAATCCATAGACCCACGGAAAGCCAGGAATCATGGAAGTAGATCCTGCTGGTTGCTCGGTAATTTTCAAATTGCTATCTGGTGGTGACTTAGAAGAAGTATATCTACAGAGTGGCCCCTATGTTTTGGAAAACCCTTTCCCGCGATATCTGGGAACTGTGGCATGCTTTAGACACCGATTAAAGTTCCACCTTATAGATTCTAGCTTTTCCAAATTGATGATAGTGTCCAGCTTGAGAATTATGTATTATGCCTTTGTTTTAATAGATGGTTGATGTTTTCATGAATATTTATTTACTGTTTTGTATGTTCATGCTTGTGTTTTTTTTAATGTTTTTTTCTTGTACACCACAAGATGTTACTAAATATAGTATGGAAACATATTAAGTGACGATGATAGTACCGATACTGGTAGAAGTTGATTATATTGATGGTTATGATTATTACCAGGTACCCTTGTATTGTGAACAGATAACCTTCTCCTATATTGACATCTCCTTCTCAATAGAAGCGGTATGCAAAGAGGCTTAGAAGATACCTTGTTTTGGTCCATTCTGGAAATTCCTCCAGATATAGGCCTCCTTACCTGGCAGAAAAGAAGAAATGACACAATTTTCATAATTATATTAACATTCACTACTTACACATTATCCACAGGTTATGATGAACCACAGGTATTAGCCATAAGTTGTGATGAATTAGAATTTCATGTGGAGTGAGGAAGATAAAATCAAACTATGATTTCCTGGGGAGAAGAACTACAATAATATGCATGTCTGCCAATAGTGTGCATTCATTAAGCCAACATAAGACATTTTGCCACCTAAAAGTAAGAACAAGAGGATGCCACTTCTCTGTTCCATATAATTTAAGCATCCAAAGAAAAGAGGAAGGCAAAGTTACTAAGGCATTGAGAACACTGAAAATGTAAGTCCCAAGTGTGGGTAGGTTTCAATGTCTTACTATCTAGCAATGCTAGGCATACGGGGACTGAAGGAATATTTCATTTGGGAGGATATCAATCTTATAGAGGGTAAGGGAAGGAAGGCCTAATTTTCATCATTGTAGAAACATCCCTGGAGAGAGAAACAAACACTGTTAGTATCCTCCCAATAATAGTTACCAGAAGTAGTCAATCATAGGCTCAGCTCTGAAATCCATCAATATTTTGAATCAGGAAAGAATTCTTCGAAAACAGCAGTGTTTTTTAACACTCTCTCAAACACATATACACAAAGCACTCACAAAAACGAATGCAGCTACAAATTCATTCTGCACATCTACAGTGCAAATGCTTTTTCCATTTGATACCAGTAATTGCTCTTTAAAATTAGTTTCCAAGGCATTTTCCTAAAATTGATGTGACACGAACATCATATACATGTGTAATATGTGTAATACTAAAGCAAACTAATGATTAAAAAATGTGAGTTATCTGGAAAAAATCCATTTTTCTGTAATACATTATCATTGTGACTAGTGGAATAGGCCAAGGTGTTTTATGATATCATGCAGTTGCAGCACAGATTGGCATGAAGCCCAATCAACTAGTTGCTCCTTTCCGGTGTATGTCTACATCAGACTTTGACTAAAATGCCCACTAGAGACTTGGATAACTGTACAAATACTTTTTGCAAGTAGTGAGTGTTAATATAATTGTAAAAGTGTGTTGTTTTCTTCTTCTCTATCAGCCTGTCCTGTAAAATGTAAATGATGTGGGGGCCAACACCTTGAGGAATTTCCAAAATGGACTATAATAAATCTTTCTCCATGTTTACCAAAATGCTAAGCAGTACAATGTGGAATTTTTAAATGTTTAACACATTAGCTCACACTTAATGTAGCAATACAGTATTCACCAGAGTATGAACAGAATGAAAATTACCTTAATATCAGTGATTACCTCAATTGTAGACCCATGCCAATCAATTTATTTTCCACTTTGCACAATGCTTGTGGGTGAAACCAAGAATTACAGTTTTTAGAAGATTTGAATGTGACCTTTTATGTATTTTAATAAGTCAGGATTCTTATATCATGACCTTGTCCAAAAATATGGGCTGGGTCACTGTTCCCTGATCTGCCTGCCAACTGACAAGGAGTTCCTCTGCCTTGTATGGATTAAGCCTTCATCTAATCCATTATTGATGGCAGACACTGGTTTAAAATTGCTAGCACCAGAGAAACAGAGTTGTGTGTCATTCCTCCAAGTGATTTGTTTCTTTACTTATTTTATTGATACTTCCATTCAATTAATGAACTTTTGCCATATGGGTCTTATCTCAATATACATTGTTCCAAAAATCACTTTACCTTAGTTTATATATACCTTCGTTATGTATCACCAATTTCCCATGCCCCCCTCCACTCCCCCCTCCCTCCTGGAACAGTGATTCCAAATGATATCATTGCATAGATTTAACCATGTGGAAAGACTGGTTCAAAATCCTGTATCTATCATCTCCACCTGTTTTGTCAGTTAGAATAGACCATTTCCAGTACCAGTGTTGTTTTATATAACTATTCATATACTTTGAAATTATTGATTATGTATTCTGAGAGCTAAGACCACCCAGCTTCCAAATCCCAACTTGTATTGTCTCTCTAATCCATGCTCAGGCTATCATAACCTGTATTGCGGCTATCATATATTTTAGGATTTCTGTCCATTGTTATATTCTTTTGCCTCTATAATGAGAGACATGAATCTAGCTTTATCCCACTTTAATTTTTGCCCTATTATTTCCTCATTTGCACAATTATGCCAACATTTGTTGGAAATTTTCCCCATTATATGTGCTAATTGAAGGGGGTTCTTTCCTCCAAGTGATTTAAGATCGATGATAAATAGCAAAGGAACAGAACTCTGAGGTACATAACAAGACAAATTATCAAGAACATGCATAGGAATTTCCCCAAGCTATCTTCTCACACTCCCAGAACAAAATTAATTTTTATATCCATTGTCTCATAAAGCATGCATGTTTGTCTATGTACTAGGGTTAAAAGAGCCCCCACATAAATAAAAAATGCAATCTGAAGTATAATGTCTGATGAATTTATATTTCACCCCTGAATTCAAATGAACTACTTCACATATAAGCCTTAGAAATGTATGTTAGGTTAGTTTATTTAAAATTGACATTTCCAAATCTTGTATATCTGAAGGACTGTATCTCTCTAGATGAGTCTGCCAGGCTCTAAGTTCTTCAGGGGAGTCCCTTCTCTTGCTCCCATCACTTGCTTAGCATGGTTTGGTGGTAACACCGATGAGACTATTCCCAGTGGTTGCTCCAAGACTTTGCAATACATTCCTTGGAGAAGCTATGATGGCTCCCTTCTGATCATTCTATTGGCAAGAAGAAACATTTCTGCTCCAACAGCCTTTTAAGGAATGAATTGTGAGGTCTTTTAATGGTGTGCTATTTTCTGATGTGTGGTTCTGCCCATTTTCTCTTTCACAATTAAATTAATTTGTTTAAAAGGTTCTAATTCAGTTGTATTTGGTTCAACTATATTTTAATAACATTTCATTGTTTTTAATCTCCCTTTTTGCAAACGTTTTTTATTTTAAGGTTTTGATTTCTTTTTAGTCTGTCTTGAGTTTTTTCCCAGAGTGCTTTGTAATCCAAAGCCTTCAGTGAAGTTAGGGAGCCAGCAATACAATAAAGCCTCCAGTTGTTAAAATCTGTTGTAATAAATTGATGTGAATCAGGGTTGATTCACATGACAAATTAATGTGGAACTCCCTCTTGTTTTGAAAATCAAAAGCTTGAATTGAAATGTGGGCAAAGTACAGGGACCTGACCAAAAGGCCCATGGATTTGCCACACAATGAGGTTCCAGAGGACAGCGTGGAGAACCCATTTCTCCCTGTCCCACATCACCCAACTTACCTCTGCTCCCATGACACAAAGAGAAGCATCACCTCCCAGCTTCACCCCATTGCTCCAAAGGCCACTTGCTCTTCGCTTTCATCACAGAGTATGACCGGAAGTTTCTGTGCATCATGTAATGGGCTTCATGGCAAAAGGGGCAAGCAAGTAATGTACAACAAGTAAATCAGCCCATCTGATGAGGTTGCAACACTGATGGTTGAGTCATCTTCATGGAACTAGAATGAATTACCTCAGTAAAATGTCTTCCCAAGGTTTGAAAATCACTTGGCTTTGTGGAAATACAATCTAAAAATATTTGGGTGCATATCCAAGACTAACTACTTCATCACGCTAGAGAAAAAATCCACTTAAAATCCAGTTTCTGCCTCCTGCAGAATTCTGGGGTTTGTGGTTTAGTGAGGCTGTTAAAGGCTCCTCCCTAAACTACAAACCCCAGAATTCTGCAGGAGGCAGAAACTGGATTTTAACTGATTTTCTCTCTAGTGTGATGAAGGAATAAGTGAGAGATTTTATACACAGTAATACCAAGGAAAGAATTATTGTTTTTAGAAATGACAGCTGACATCTACAATCAGAGATTGATAACTTTCTTCAATAATTTAGAAGACATATTGATTAAAATACAAAAATTACTCTCATTTAGTGTACAGAATCAACATTTGCAACTACTACTGTTTACCTGAATGGGAAAGATCTCCAAATATAGTTATTGGAACGATGTAGAGCATTCTCAAATGTAGAGCCTCAATTATTTTCAGAGTAAAAACAAAAATGTTACCTATGATACCAGGAATGTTTCCCTGTATTTTCAATTATTGGATTAAAAGTAAATCAATGAAAGAGGGAGGGATTACTTAAATGTTGTCTCCAGGAGGCAACTTCCAATAGACTCTTTATAAAAGGAGTAACACAGCATCAAAAGAGTGAATGATTAATTCAGTCTTATGGCTTTTCTCAAGCTTATATACCAGACCAGCAGAAGCTAAAGTGGGCTTTCAAAATAGGCTAAAAGACATTTTGGCACCGTCTCACTTATCCTTGATCTCAGAGGTTAAAGCAGCTTCTTAGAACTATATGATTATACTGAACTACTATTATGGAAGTAATTTAAATGTTTACTACTAGGAAGCCTCTGTCTTTTCTTCTAACATAACCGGTGGACTTTGCCATTGCTGTCAATTTTTTTAAGTACATAAAACTAACATAATAAATATCTTATAAATGGTATTTTATCAGGATAAAGTTATCTGAATTAATAACAAAATAACTGGGAAGGAGAAGAAAGAGAAATGAAAACAATTTGGTAGAACTCAGCAATCTCAAGAGAAGTATCATTTTAGCAGACAGGAATACAGTAGTTCCTTTTTACACTCCTCTGGTTCTAAGTCCCAGGATGTATCCTGGCATAATCAGATAAAAAGTTGTTTTGTTTCATGATGCAATATTAATTGGCTAAGTTTGGCAAACATCTCATATCAAGGATCTAATTTACCACCTCAGGAAGGAAAGGGACCATTTGACCAAGTATTGGTTTGATTAAACTCCAAAACCTAAAGAGATCAGAGAAACACAAGAGGGAGAAGGTAGTGAACAATTTCCTTATCAATGTAAGAAAGACTGATATTCACAACACCTACCGCTTATCTCTGCTACATCAACAAAGATACAGGAATTCTGATTTTTGACA